TAAAGGAAGTTTTCAGGGGAATAGTGAAATGGAAAACCAAACTAAACATGTGTCTCATAATTTTTACTCATAATTGAATGAATAGGAAACATCTATTTAGGTAAGTTTTGATTGTGATATTTCAAAGTTTCAAATTGAGTCCATTCCTCACTTCACTATGTATATGGTTCTGGAGGGAACACTTTTTTGGGTCGATGAGTAAAATTTCTAGGATCTCAAAATGTGTTTGTCAATGCAGTACCAGCTCTGTCCTTATCCAACACACTTGTCTAAAGATAAAAACAGCTTGAAAGAAAGAAAAATGAATTTCAGATCTATTCAGAAGCAATTCAAATGCATTTTAAAGACTTAGATTTATGACTATTTCCTTGCTCTTATATATTTCAGGGCCAACTTTCATGTTCCATTTTTGACATCCCAGATAGAATATTGAGATATGTTTGGCATTGGAGATGAGAGGTTATGAGGAAAGAATTTCTACAAAAGCAAGTTGAAAATCAGCTTTCTTCTCATTGTGTACAAAGGGGAGGATGGGCTGAGAAAGCAGCACCAGAAAGAGGAGAGACGGTATTCCTCCAAACCCTGGATCTCCCAGAATGGCACTGATTTCAAACTGTACCAACACTCCTGTTGTTGACCAACCTGAATTTAGAGAAGCTTCATTAACAGAGAGAATTTGCCAAAAACCAGCTTGCTTTTTTTTGGGGGGGTGAAGGAGAAGTGGTCAGGTTTTAGAAATAGCACAAATATAAAGGTGGCAGAATTCACAAATCAAACCTGCAGAAGAGACTCTCATTTAGCAACAACACCTCCTATCCCTCACTACAGTCTGAAGAACTGGGGAAGAATGCTTAAACCGCATTGTCTTAATGCACAGAGACCAACGAGTCCAAATTAAAAAGGGCCCTGAAAATATCCTTACCAATACACCCACCACTGTCCTCTTTTTTTATTTAGGACCATGAAGTGCAACATAAGTGTGTAAGAGCAAAATTGTACAATATAATTGATTAAAGCAGAAAAGTCTCATAGTCCTGTATTAAGGCCAAAGGAAATCAAAACATACTCAGGTTACAGCATGTGCTCATAAAAAAAAGCTCTCAATTGGATTTCATGAGAAATATTGATCCTGAGCTCTGAATCCTCTTACTTTGGCTACCACACATGACTGGGGTCAGTACCTTCTATGTTGGATGCCTTCAAAGGCCTTGACTCATGTAGACAGAATACAACAGACAGGAGTAACTTTGTTTAAACAAATTATATCTGAGGCTGCTTATAAAGCAGCCAAGTGTACTCTTATTTAAGGAATATAGATGTTGAAAAGAATAAATAAGAAAATAGTTGATTTTCTCAATGCCTCTCTTAAAAATTACAGTAGCTATGACCAGGTAAAGTTTTATATAAAAAGACTTGATCAAATTAAAATTGCCCCCATACCCTGCTTAAACATAAAATGTACATTCTACATTTATTTCTTCATAAAGACACTTATTGATATTTGTGATATTCATTGCAATTAACTATATACCTTCCAAATCTGACCCAAAGAAAAACCTATTAAAAGAGGCTCTTTGTCTTTAGTATTTGAATTTAGCCAATGATTCTGGGCTATCACCTGTTAAACAGTGCTATCAGCTTAGTAGAAGAATTACCAGTCTCTAAAACAATCCACATTTGCATTGGCAATATTGTACAACTATGTTTCAAATCTGACATTGAAATTCAAGGAGCTGTAAAAGGGAAAGGATGATTGTACATTGATCAAAATCACTGTTCTCTACTGTCTGTAGTAACGTCCCTTTGGCTTGATAAACTTGTCAATTAACCTATATTTTCAAATATAAAATGCTTCAAAGATGTTTTTGGTGAAATTATCTCCTCTGGCAATATGTTTAAGATATTCGTTTTTAGAGTGTGAAGTGCAAGCAAGTATTAGGCCATTGGAAACCCAAGAATCCCAGTAACACTGAAGAAAGTTTTGGGCCAGCTCACCGCCTAAACAGTGGAAGATGGGAAGAGTCTACCTGCAAACCCAACTTTCTCCTCCTGCCTTTCAAGTTCAATCCTTTTTTGTCTTTAATCCTACAGAATATTAGAAACAGTTCTCTAACTGGGCCTTCCCCATAGCAAAATGGCTTTCACTTGAAAAAAATCCTATTATCCATTAGCAAGTGTGTTCATTGTCAGTGAACTAGCCTCTTCCACTCCAAAGAGCTATGCTGCCTTTTACAGACAGGATCCTTCTGATTGATCTAAGATGATCACAAAGACATTCATTCCATAAGCCTTGAGATATCCAAATCAAGAGCAAAGATCCTGGCCATTAAAGAATTCGTGGGTTAGTCAAAAAAAAAAAAAAAAACAGAGCATCATCTTTAACCACTTCAAGTACTACAATAGAATCCATTACTTTCATTAAAAAAGAAGAAGAAGAAAGAAAGAAAGGGTCGAAAAGACCCACTAAAATATGGAGGTTGGACCTGGGGAAAAGGAAATTTCTCTCCTGGGAACTTTAGTGGCATAATCAAAACAAGTGAAAAATATGAACACCAGTGATTCAGGCATTTTTCACCCTACAGTAGCATTGCTGATAATCCCTCAAATGAAATCTTAATTTCCTTTTGTTAATCATCCTGCAATCTTGGATGAAAAAATTAACCAAACTATCCTCTCTCTTTAAATCACCATACAACTTCCCTATTTAAGCTCTCATATTATGGAAACTACATAATCCCCCTTTCATTAAAATTTCCCTTGTTGACAGATACAAACCAGGTCAATTTCTTCTGGATTTTGCATACTTGTGTTACATATCTTAATTCAACTTCTTGTAAAGGTTTAAAAAAGAGAAAGAGCTGGACTTAAAATACAAATAAAACAAATAAATACTGCTTATACGTCTATGTGAACATTGACACCATTTACCGATTTTTCCCCTCTTTTCCTTGGGGCTGAGGGCCCTGTCAATAATCATTACTTATTAAACAGGCTGCCATTCCCTTCCATAGAATGTGGGAAGAGAGCATTGAGGGGTAGAAATAATTACCTTGGGCTTTTCTTTAAAGACCTCCGGAATGGAATGCAAGGAAATCAATTGAGCAAGACCATGAAATACCCCTACCATGTGTAGTCCTCCCTCCTCCCCCAATGCATACAAGGGTTGAGGTATACCACACTCCATTATTCACATCAACTGCATCAAAAAAGCAGATCAAAAATCTTGGGTCTTCAAGATAGACTTATTTTCAATCCATTGAATATGATCACACATACACTCATGAATCCTTTATCCTTCCACAAAACTCAAGCTAGGTTTGTTGAGTGGAGGCTCTAAACACCTCCTGAAAAATGTGCTCTCAAAAATGACTGCTTCAGCCAAAGGGGAGAGAAGCAGCAAGTTACTAGCTCGACTGCCATTCTGGTTTATGGCAGATTCCTTCCTTCTCTCCTTCCTGTCTCCCAATTTACCTTCTAGGCTGTTTTTTCCAAAGCAAAGTAGGTTTTTGTTTTGTTTTGTTTTTCCGTTTCCCTCTCCTGGACCTTACTTACAAATACACTAAATGCTTTAAAAACAAAACAGTTGCAAGGGTTAAGTAACACCCAGGGTAAGATCATAGGTCAGGGAGATTAAAAATTAGCAGGTAACTGAAAGTAAACCCGATTTTCCCACCATCACTGAAGAGTTAATGACGAACACTCTTTTTTCCCCCAGATGCTATGGCTCAAAACACAAATGCAATATAAAGACAGCATAACCAGACAGTTTTTGCAAAATAGCCTTGCACAGAACTTGAACTAGCAGGCTGGGGTTTGTCCTAAATAACCTTCACAGGTTGCACAAACTGTTCCCATATCCTGATCAGATCAGCTTAAAAGATGCCTGAAATTTCCTTTGAACAAGAAGGAGGTGGGGGGGGAAAGGTGGGGAGGGAAGGTGGGGGGGGAGGTCAATTAGTCACCTAAAACATTTATAGAAATATTGAGAAAATATGCACTTTCTATACAAATAAACAGAAAGCGATGATGCTTTGGGTATACTGGCCCATACTCGCACCAACTGAGCGCAGGTTGAAGATGCTACATTCTAACGGTGACATGTTTGCAAACGGTTGGATGTTCTCACCCCTAAGTGCAGAAAACTCCCAACTCGCGCATATTTTTCAGGCACAGAGGGAGAGGAGATAAGGTTCACACCCCACCTTTGGGAACAGAACAAAAGCAAAGGCTTGGCAGGGCTGAAAAAAACTCCTCCTTCGTCAGGACCCTAGAAGTGGCAGCTCTGCAGGGCTCCCTTCCTATTTCCTCCTAGCTAACTCACTCTCCGCGGCCACAGAATTAATGTCTACACCTTGGAATGGCCACCGGCAGGCTAGGAGGTGATCAGTTTAGCCCCTTTCCCAAGTCTCCCAATGGCTTCTAATTAACCCTCTCTGGTTCCTGCCCGGGTCAGAGCTGCTGGAAGCGTCTTCAGCTACATTCTACCAAGATCTCCATTAAATCGTCACCCACACTTGGACATAACTTCCTTTTGTGGTTTATCGTAATTCAATTTGCATGTGCTTTGCTTTCTTTCCTTCCCACCGGCGGGCAGAGAAGGGACTCAGTGCATTCGAGAAGGCCCTCTCTCCTCCCGGGCCCTCTACTGGAGCGGGATCCCGCAGCTCGCCAGCAGGTCTGCAGTGAGGAGGGATCGCACTCGCGTTAACCCTTCAAAGGGAGTTAGGAGATGTGTTCTCATTTGGGACCCGCTAAAGTGGGGCCCGTGGAGCCTGACAATCTCCCTCCCTTTCCTACACGCCACCACCCCCACCTCAGACCCAGAACAGGCTGGCACCTTCTTACCCCCTGGTGGACAGTTTCAACCAGCTCTCACTCTGCCCCAAACCTGGGATGGGGGAGGGGGCTTGCTAGAAGGCAGGCGGTGAAGGGAAAAGACAGCAGGAGGGCAGAAAGGAAACTCAGTAGTAAATCATAGTTGGGACACACTGTTTACTTACGAAATTTGGGGCTGGTGCTAGTTTCTGGTGTCGCGGTGGTAGAGGACGAGGAAGAGGAGGAAGACGACGAGGCAGCATCCTGAAAGGGAGACAGGGTCCAGGAGGGAGTAGAATCGTGAAGGTAGGAGGAGGTAGCGTATGCCGCAGTGGGCCAGGAGGGCATTGCCTGGGTGCTTGGGGTTCCTGGCACCGGGGGTCGGGAGCCCGGCGTGCTGCTACTGAAGAACGCGGCCGTGGTAGATAGGACCGTCGGGGGGGCTGCAGTGTTCCGTGCTGTGGTGGAGCGCGGGCTGGCCCGGATGGGCACCCGGTGCCCGGGGAAGCGAGTGGGCGCCCGAGTGATGGTAGTCAAGCGGGTGCTAATCCGGTTGGGCGTCCTGGAGGAGGCGGCGCCCCCGGCGGAGGGGGTGGCGGGGGCCGTGGTGGAAGTGGTCGTGGTGGTGGTCTCCATGGCCTTGGGGAAAGAGCTGGGCTTGGAGAGGAAGAAGGGGTCCTGGCCCATCCCCTTGGAGTCCACCAGGTCGGTGGGCACGTACTCCTTGACGGAGCCCACCACGATCCATTTGAGAAGCATGAGGCTGAGCCCCAGGCCGATGAAGCCGATGAACAGAGGCACCACGCACAGCCACGTCTGCTGCCGGTTCCACACGATGCAGTCGCTACAGCGTAACTCCCGGGGGGGCTCGGCCGCCCCTTCGCCGCCGTCCGGGCCCCCGCCCGCCGCTGCCGCCGCCGCAGCCGCCGCGGTGCCCTCCTCAGCCGAGGCGGCGGCTGCCGAAGCGGCACCAGGTGGCGAGGCAGCGGCCGCCCCTTCACTCATCCTAGGAGCCGGTCTTCACCTTCGCCCCCCCGAGGGCCGCGCCAGAGGCATGGGGCTGCGCGGGCCGGGCGCGGGCGCGGGCTCCGGCGGCGGCGGCGGCGGCGACGGCGGGCTCGGGCGCAGGCAGCGGCCGCGGCGGCCGCATGCAAATCGGCTCCCTGCCCCCACGCCCCTCCCCCCGAGAGGCGGGCGGCGGGCGGGGAGGAGAGGAGCGGGGGAGGGGACGGGGACGGGGACGGGGCCGGGGAGGGGGCGGCGAGGAGCGCGGAAGAGGGGCGAGACGGGCCCCCGGCGCCGCCGGTCGGTCAGGGAGCGGCTGGGCGCGTCTGCAGCCCGCCAAGCGGCCTCCTGAGCGCCGGGGCCCCGCGCCCGCTGCTGCTGCTGCTGCTGCTGCTGCTGCTGCCTGCCGCCTGCGAGCGCTCCAGCCGCGCCGGCATCCTCGGGGCACCGCGCCCGGCCGGCTCCCTGGGGCGCCCGCTCGCGCCGCGTCTGGGCCTCGCGCCGCCTTCAGTGGCCCCGCCGGCCGGCCGCGGGGTGCCGGGTGCCCGCCAGCCGCATTCCGACACAGAGGGTCGGCCTCGGCGCCGCGAGCGTCGGCTGCTGCTCGGCGAGCCCGGGCGATGAGGTGCACCTGTTCTTCAGCCGGCCCGCAGCCAACCCTCGGCCAGCGCTCTCCCGGAGAGACCAATCCCAGCGCAGCGCGGAGGGCGAGCGGCCGGCTCGCCCGCTCCAGCCGCCCGCTGCTCGGCGCCGCCGCCGCCGCCGCCCGAAGAGAGTCAAACTCCAGCGAACCGCGCCGCTGTCGCCGCCGTGAGCCAGGGGCTGGGGGCGCTCCGGGCGTCCGCGGCGGGTGCGGTCTGACCCGCCTCCGAGGGACCCAACAAGCAAGCAGAGGATCGGAAATCACGCCCCGGCGCCCTGCCCGGTTGAGCGTGGGGAGCCAAAGCGGGAGACTGCGTCGGGGGCTCTGGAGGACGCGGACCCCGGGCCGAGGGCGTCTCCAGGCGGATGCGGGTGTATGTGCAGAACCGCCGCGGCGGGCTGAGATTCCGGCAGAGTAGCGCCTCCCACCAGCACCTAATGCTGGTTTCTTAATGCACACAAGATAAATAAATGATCCAAGCAAACCCCCGTTTGACGGGGGCGGGGGTGGCAAAAGCAGCTTCCCGACCGATTGTGAGCCTGTCTCTTGAACGCATCCAGTGGGGTCAGAGACTGAAGCTGCTGGGCGAGGGGGCGGGGGCGGATGCGGGTGGGAGGGTGCCCGTGCGCTCCCCTGCCTGATGGCGGTGCGGCTGGATGGAGGGCCACCTTTGCCTGAGTTCCTGAGAGATGCATGGAGCGGGCGACCTTTGTGCAATCAGACCTGTCAGATCTCTCCAAGCCATTTGTGTGAACTTGCCTTAAAATGTTGTCATTGCATGTAAGTGTACGCACAGATATACACGTTATGAGGCAAGTGTTTGTGAGAGGTAAATATAAAACGATTTGGGATTGGACTCCCAAATTCCGTTGCCGGTTTCTTCCCTTGGCTAGGGAGGCACCCGTGTGGTACCTGCCGATGCAAGGGTCAAAGAGCCAGTGTTAGCATGATATATGCCGATGGTGCAAAACCTTGCTTGCCAACCCTGTCCAGATTTCCTGGTCTAAACTGAAAACCGAAGAGGAGAAGTTTTTATTTACAAGCTTTAAGAATATAAGGTTGAGAAAGGCAGCTTCCTAATACACTTCTCCAGCACTGTCTGATTGGCGTGGATGATGGAGTCCGCATTCCCTTGTCCTGTGATAGTATCCACAAAGATGAAGTTTTCAAGGTATCCATTTTATTCACAGGTGGAGAACCAAACGTTACACTGAAGAGACTGCAGAGAGCAGAGGATGCATTGAAACAGGAAGCCCCTGGGGTTTGGTACCTACCAGAGTACTTTGCACAGACACGGTTAATAAATTATTTTTGATGGCAGTAATGCAGCTGTCACCTCTTTCAGCTATAACATTGAGACTTTCCCCACAGGAAAGCTTTTGATTTTTAGTTTGATGGAACATGCCTTAATCTAGTAGTGCTGAATTATGATTACAAAAAGTGCAAGCAAAAAAAAAAAAAAAAAAACATTATTTGAATCCAGATTCCTTTAGCTTTCCAATGCAAACCACTGCCCTCTTAAATAAAAACTGACCCAGCCTGTACCTTCTGTGGGTGCTAGGAATCTACTTACCAGCTAGGAATCTACTTGCCCAGCCTTTCTTGTGTAGCAAATAAAAGCTTTCCTGCAAAACTCTTTGGAATTATAGCGGTGCTACTGTCAGCTATTTGAGACAGAAAATTACTTTTCCAAAGCACTCCTAGTTCATTGCCCACCCCACCCCACTCCCACCACCAGTGTTCCTGTGGTCTCTGGCATCTTTCCTGCCTGCTAGAGTAAATCCAGTGTGCATAAAGGGATGCTATAATGCTGCAGATGGGCAAATGCTCCCTTTCCTGAAGCCACAGTCCAACAGCTTTCACTCCATGTTCTCTCAATACTCCCTAATGCCTTCTTCATCTGCCTCTCCATCTCCCTCTATTTCTCATTTCCACTTGGCTTTAACAGCTTATTCATGTATCCCTGTTGAGCTCATTTTGCCCCAGATCCCAAGCCACCGTACTCAGCTACCCATTGGTTCTTCTCACAGTGAACATCATCACTAGAGACAGAGAGAGAGAGGAAAGAAAAAAAAAAAAACCCAAAACATCGCTTTGATAGCCTTATATTGGGGAACAGGTTGTACCACCCCATCCAAGAATGTTTGGCGGATGTAGCCATCATTAACTTGCAGTTTTATTGTGAGGGTCCCTGGTAGCAGGTGGTAAGCACTGGCACTGGAATTGCCAATGGGGAGGGGCTGTTCACAGTTGCCTCAAGGACAAGTGGTGGACCCTCTCACTGCTAATAAGCAGCCAGTTAGTCAGTCCCAAGGTAGGGAGGAGCCTCGTTTTTGTGACTCACAGCTCACTGGAGCAGAACGCTGAAGAAGCAGCTTCAGGCTCAGACTCTTAAGACAGGGATTCAAGTTAGAGTTCTGTCACTTATAAGCAATAAAATCACTCTGGGCCACTGTTTTCTCAACTATGAAATGGAGGTATGATACCTGCATTCTACATAATTATAAGAAATTTTATAGCTAAATAGACTATTCACTTATGGCACCTTTTAAGCATTATCCTGAGATATCTTCCTGTGGAGAGAATTATTCTGATAAATGGATATATCATGCCTCAGCCTCCCCTGAGCTTCTCATCTGCCTGACTATAATTACCTATGTAATGGATAGGAGTGTGTATAGTGTGTCAGTAGACCACATAGGAGATATTCACTCCTATGTGGACACTCTATCCACATAGATATCCACATAGGAGCGGATATCTCCTTTGTGGTCTACTGACACACTAAACTTGGGATTTCTAATCATTGCCTAAAGTTTGACACAAATCAGCATTTCTATTGAAATGCAGTTTTCCCCTCAATGGCACCAATATCCCCAGGCTGAGAGTCTCAGTGCCATCTCTGACTCCTTACCCGCCATTTCCCAAGTTCAATTAGTTGTCAAGTTATTTACTTTCCACAATACAATTGTCCAGGGCTTCGTCCATTCCAAAATCTTTGGTAAACACTCATCTTTGAAACTATGAGGCTGTAAATGACCTTAGTGGCCAAACACCTCTGATGTGTCATCTCGTCAGATGTCCCAGCCCAACAATCATTAGGTTTCTTCTGGCTCTCTGGAGAAGGACCCTTCCTGGGGAAGACCAGCCAGCTTTTCAGTGTACATAGTTACAAAAGTCTTTGTTTTTGGAGATGGAATGTCACTCTGTTGCCCAGGCTGGAGTGCAGTGGCTCAATCTCGGCTCACTGAAACCTCCGCCTCCCAGATTCAAGTGATTCTCCTGCCTCAGCCTCCCAAGTAGCTGGGACTACAGGTGCCCGCCACTACGCCCAGCTAATTTTTGTATTTTTAATAGAGACTGGGTTTCATCATATTGGCCAGACAGGTCTTGAACTCCTGACCTTGTGATCTGCCCCCCTCAGCCTCCCAAAGTGCTGGGATTACAGGGGTGAGCCAACACTCCTGGCCAAAAAGTCTTTGTGTTGAGACAAAAGCCTACCTTCCCATACATTCACTCTTTCTTCTTAGTTCATCATTCTTTATAGAAATCTTTTACAAATTAGGTACCAGGAACAGAGGATATAACAGAGGACAAAATTAAGGCCCCTACCTTCATGGAACTTACATTTTAGAGAGGCTGACGATAAACAAACAAAATAAATTTTGTAGTCTTTCAGAAAATGAAAAGTGCAGATTTGGACCACCAAGAACACACCTAGTTGGTATAATTACAAAGGACATCTCTTCTCCAATCCAAGATCCTCAGTCTGTTTCCCAACCCCCCAAGCCCATGAGAACTTGGCACTCTTAGCAACATGATACCAGAGTGCTCTTTTATTCCCTGTGGGTTCTCTGGCTAGTGTACCCACTTTTGAAGCCAGTCTGGCATGTGAAATCCTAATGTTCATAATGTTTCCTGGAATCGCGTGTAGCAGCAGTGTGGTTCCAGAACACATTTTCATAGAGTAAACATTTTGCAAAGCATGAATGAGGTTAACCTTCCATATGATTGCATATGTCCTTTTTCTCGCTTGGTTTAGACCACTACTGTGATTATAATGACGCACATTTTTTAGTAATCATCGTGCCCTTTTTAAAAGAAAAGCTGATTGTTCTCTTCATAGGCCTCAACAAATAACTGTATTTCTTGTGGGTTCTTGATGCCGTATGCGTACGACCAACCCAAAAATCTACTGGAAAATTCCCACATGGATCACACTATTTGTAACAGCTTGATTTCCAAGCATTTCTGCATGATAACCCAGTATCATAAATAAAATGAATAATAAAATACAAAAATTATACAGAGCAAAAATCTGAGAGTGGAAAGTGAAGAATTCCAGTTCTAACCGTATGGTACTCACAAAAAGATGATTGTAACAATATTCAAAGACTTAGATTATTTGGAATGTCACCAAATTGCACTATCATAAATTAGGAAATGCTGACGACTGTATAACAGGATGTGGAATTAGAAGTTTTTAATAAGGGACTAAGGAAAAAAACAGATGT